AGTCAGTTGAGGACTCAGTAGTTAAGTCAGTTGAGGACTCAGTAGTTAAGTCAGTTGAGGACTCAGTAGTTAAGTCAGTTGAGGACTCAGTAGTTAAGTCAGTTGAGGACTCAGTAGTTAAGTCAGTTGAGGACTCAGTAGTTAAGTCAGTTGAGGACTCAGTAGTTAAGTCAGTTCAGGACTCACTTAGTAGTTAAGTCAGTTGAGGACTCAGTAGTTAAGTCAGTTGAGGACTCATTAGTAGTTAAGTCAGTTGAGGACTCAGTAGTTAAGTCAGTTGAGGACTCACTTAGTAGTTAAGTCAGTTGAGGACTCAGTAGTTAAGTCAGTTGAGGACTCACTCAGTAGTTAAGTCAGTTGAGGACTCAGTAGTTAAGTCAGTTGAGGACTCACTTAGTAGTTAAGTCAGTTGAGGACTCAGTAGTTAAGTCAGATGATGACTCGCTTAGTAGTTAAATCAGTTGAGGACTCACTTAGTAGTTAAGTCAGTTGAGGACTCAGTAGTTAAGTCAGATGATGACTCGCTTAGTAGTTAAATCAGTTGAGGACTCAGTAGTTAAGTCAGATGATGACTCGCTTAGTAGTTAAATCAGTTGAGGACTCACTTAGTAGTTAAGTCAGTTGAGGACTCCATTAGTAGTTAAGTCAGTTGAAGACTCAGTAGTTAAGTCAGATGATGACTCGCTTAGTAGTTAAATCAGTTGAGGACTCACTTAGTAGTTAAGTCAGTTGAGGACTCACTTAGTAGTTAAGTCAGTTGAAGACTCAGTAGTTAAGTCAGATGATGACTCGCTTAGTAGTTAAATCAGTTGAGGACTCACTTAGTAGTTAAGTCAGTTGAGGACTCACTTAGTAGTTAAGTCAGTTGAGGACTCAGTAGTTAAGTCAGATGATGACTCGCTTAGTAGTTAAATCAGTTGAGGACTCACTTAGTAGTTAAGTCAGTTGAGGACTCACTTAGTAGTTAAGTCAGTTGAAGACTCAGTAGTTAAGTCAGATGATGACTCGCTTAGTAGTTAAATCAGTTGAGGACTCACTTAGTAGTTAAGTCAGTTGAGGACTCACTTAGTAGTTAAGTCAGTTGAAGACTCAGTAGTTAAGTCAGATGATGACTCGCTTAGTAGTTAAGTCAGTTGAGGACTCACTTAGTAGTTAAGTCAGTTGAGGACTCAGTAGTAAATCAGTGAGGATCAGTAGTTAAGTCAGCTGAGGACTCGCTTAGTAGTTAAGTCAGTTGAGGACTCAGTAGTTAAGTCAGTTGAGGACTCACTTAGTAGTTAAGTCAGTTGAAGACTCAGTAGTTAAGTCAGATGATGACTCGCTTAGTAGTTAAGTCAGTTGAGGACTCACTTAGTAGTTAAGTCAGTTGAGGACTCAGTAGTTAAGTCAGTTGAGGACTCAGTAGTTAAGTCAGCTGAGGACTCGCTTAGTAGTTAAGTCAGTTGAGGACTCAGTAGTTAAGTCAGTTGAGGACTCACTTAGTAGTTAAGTCAGTTGAGGACTCGCTTAGTAGTTAAGTCAGTTGAGGACTCACTTAGTAGTTAAGTCAGTTGAGGACTCAGTAGTTAAGTCAGTTGAGGACTCACTTAGTAGTTAAGTCAGTTGAGGACTCAGTAGTTAAGTCAGTTGAGGACTCAGTAGTTAAGTCAGTTGAGGACTCACTTAGTAGTTAAGTCAGTTGAGGACTCACTTAGTAGTTAAGTCAGTTGAGGACTCACTTAGTAGTTAAGTCAGTTGAGGACTCACTTAGTAGTTAAGTCAGTTGAGGGATCACTCAGTAGTTAAGTCAGTTGAGGACTCAGTAGTTAAGTCAGTTGAGGGACTCAGTAGTTAAGTCAGTTGAGGATCAGTGTTAAGTCAGTTGAGGACTCAGTAGTTAAGTTTAGTTGAGGACTCAGTAGTTAAGTCAGTTGAAGACTCACTTAGTAGTTAAGTCAGTTGAGGAAATTAGTAGTTAAGTCAGTTGAGGACTCACTTAGTAGTTAAGTCAGTTGAGACTCAGTAGTTAAGTCAGTTGAGGACTCACTTAGTAGTAAGTCAGTTGAGGACTCAGTAGTTAAGTCAGTTGAGGACTCACTCAGTAGTTAAGTCAGTTGAGGATCACGTAGTTTAAGTCAGTTGAGGACTCATTAGTAGTTAAGCCAGTTGAGGACTCACTTAGTAGTTAAGTCAGATGATGACTCGCTTAGTAGTTAAGTCAGTTGAGGATCATAGTAGTTAAGTCAGTTGAGGACTCCAGTAGTTAAGTCAGTTGAGACTCAGTAGTTAAGTCAGATGATGGGCTCGCTTAGTAGTTAAGTCAGTTGAGGACTCACTTAGTAGTTAAGTCAGTTGAGGACTCACTTAGTAGTTAAGTCAGTTGAGACTCGTAGTTAAGTCAGATTGATGACTCGGTTAGTAGTTAAATCAGTTGAGGATCACTTAGTAGTTAAGTCAGTTGAGGACTCAGTAGTTAAGTCAGTGATGACTCGCTTAGTAGTTAATCAGTTGAGGACTCACTAGTAGTTAATCAGTTGAGGACTCAGTAGTTAAGTCAGTTGAGACTCAGTAGTTAAGTCAGTTGAGGACTCACTTAGTAGTTAAGTCAGTTGAGGACTCCAGTAGTTAAATCAGTTGAGGACTCAGTTATGAATATGAAGTGATGATGCTGTTAGTAGTTAAGTCAGTTGAGGACTCACTTAGTAGTTAAGTCAGTTGAGGACTCAGTAGTTAAGTCAGTTTAGGATCAGTAGTTAAGTCAGTGAGGACTCACTTAGTAGTTAAGTCAGTTGAGGACTCAGTAGTTAAGTCAGTTGAGGACTCAGTGTTAAGTCAGTAGGACCAGTAGTTAAGTCAGTTGAGGACTCACTTAGTAGTTAAGTCGTTGAGGACTCCAGTAGTTAATCATTGAGGACTCAGTGTTGTCAGTTGAGGACTCAGTAGTTAAGTCAGCTGAGGACTCACTTAGTAGTTAAGTCAGTTGAGGACTCAGTAGTTAAGTCAGTTGAGGACTCAGTAGTTAAGTCAGTTGAGGACTCGTAGTAGTTAAGTCAGTTGAGGACTCAGTAGTTAAGTCATTGAGGACTCACTTAGTAGTTAAGTCAGTTGAGGACTCCGAGTTTGTAGTTGAGGATTAGTAGTTAAGTCAGTTGAGGACCCCCCTTAGTAGTTAAGTCAGTTGAGGACTCACTTAGTAGTTAAGTCAGTTGAGGACTCACTTAGTAGTTAAGTCAGTTGAGGACTCAGGTTATCGTTGAGGACTCAGTAGTTAAGTCAGTTGAGGACTCCTTAGTAGTTAAGTCAGTTGAGGACTCACTTAGTAGTTAAGTCAGTTGAGGACCTTAGTAGTTAGTCGTAGGACTCAGTAGTTAAGTCAGTTGAGGACTCACTTAGTAGTTAAGTCAGTTGAGGACTCAGTAGTTAAGTCAGTTGAGGACTCAGTTGTTAAGTCAGTGAGGACTCACTTAGTAGTTAAGTCAGTTGAGGACTCACTTAGTAGTTAAGTCAGTTGAGGACTCACTGTAGTTAATGTCAGTTGAGGATCAGTAGTTAAGTCAGTTGAGGACTCACTTAGTTTGTTAGTCAGTTGAGGACTCACTAGTAGTTAAGTCAGTTAGACTCACTTAGTAGTTAAGTCATTTGAGGACTCAGTAGTTAAGTCAGTTGAGGACTCACTTAGTAGTTAAGTCAGTTGAGGACTCACTTAGTAGTTAAGTCAGTTGAGGACTCAGTAGTTAAGTCATTTAGACTCACTAGTAGTTAAGTCAGTTGGAACTCACTAGTAGTTAAGTTCAGTTGAGACTCATTAGTGTTGTACAGTTGAGGACTACAGTAGTTAATCAGTGAGGACTCAGTAGTTAAGTCAGAACTACTCCTTAGTAGTTATGCAAGTTGAACGCCCTGGTGAAATTTAACAACTGATGTTGAGGCAGATTACGCCTGTGATCATAACAACTGCGGTCTGAGCAGATACGCTGTGATCAATACTGCTGCTGGCAGCTGCCAAAAAATGCTGGCTGAGCAGATACGCCTGTGATCAAACAACTGCTGGCTGAGCAGATACGCCTGTGATCAAACAACTGCTGGCTGAGCAGATACGCCTGTGATCAAACAACTGCTGGCTGAGCAGATACGCCTGTGATCAAACAACTGCTGGCTGAGCAGATACGCCTGTGATCAAACAACTGCTGGCTAAGCAGATACGCCTGTGATCAACAATCTGCTGGCTAAGCAGCTAAACCTGTGAAAAAACACTTGGCTACAGATAGCTTACTTTTTGAAACGCCTTTTCTCATTGCAACAAACGGTAGTCAACACTTGACTTATCAGGAGTGTCGATCTGCTCTGGGATTATAGTAACAAACCTTACCTAAACAGGGCTAGAAATTTATGTTTAACCACTTCATTTTGGAAAGAACCTCGTTGCTTTCTGGAGATCACCTGCATGTTGGTACTGTTATTCGACTATGCCTTAGTGTGGTCTTATTCATTTCAGCATATTTGTATTTGATTACAAGTATATCTTTATTAACATTCTTTATTTAAAATACAGTCTTTATTTAATTGCAACATACATTTGGAAGAAAATTTTTACCGATGACAATGAAGAGAAATTTATGCAGGAGATGATTTTGTTTTGACAACATTTTTTTTTCTATACGTAGATCTACAACATGTGAATCCTTTGACTGGATAAAAATCTACGTAGCGCAAAACGTTGTCACAATAAAGTTTGCTGAGCGTAAGTTTGCAAGCCGAGAGCTAAAATTACCCTGAAAGTAACAAATTGCGTAAACATGACACCATGGTGGCTTGTACCAGGGTTAGTCAGAAGCAGCCTTTGTGCTAAGGTGAGAGGAGGCCACCTGGCTGACCCAGGTTCGAGCCCAAATGGCATCTTGTTTACTCAGTGTTTTGCTCACGGTAACATAAAATTTGTCTGTTTACATAACATTCGTTTGCTTCTCGAGAACACGTGCCAGGAGGTGTGCATTACCGACATTCTTCTTTCTGTCTAACAGATGGGGCCCAGGGCCTACACATCACGAAGGTGGGAGTACCATCGCCCGTAGCAGTGGGCGATAGTGGGTGGCTGGAGTGTGAGTTCGTGGACGAGGGGGAGAGTATCTACGCTCTCAAGTGGTACTTGGGCCTCGACGAGTTCTACCGCTGGACACCCGCTGAGAATCCCCCAGTGAAGACTTTTCCTGTGAGGGGCGACCCGCTGACGGTGGACACGGCGGCGTCGCAGAGGGGCAAAGTAAGGATCCAGGGAGTGACGCTTGCGGCGGCGGGGGTCTTCCGCTGCGAGGTGTCAGCAGAAGCTCCATCCTTCCACACTGAATCTGACGTCTCGACCATGACTGTTGTGGGTGAGTAGTTTGTTTTATGGAGGAGGAAGAGGAGGGAAGGAGAGGATAGGAAGACTTTCATTTATGTTTCTTCTAAGTCCAGGCTGATTATACCACGCAAACATTGCTAGAAGTTCGATCATCAGTCCACTAGCCGCGAGAAACACGCATTAATTCAATTTTCACTTATTCCCTGAGGCTAATGAGGGGTGAGACACCAAAATTTAGAATATATTATAAATCCTTCCATACTCTCAAGGCAGCGTGAGTGGTGTATACAAGTATATGTTCAGGAGGCATACTGGCCCATGCTACGTAAGTCTTATTTACCACATCAAGCCATTTTCACTCTTTTATTTGTCCGTCGTGTTTTTAAAACTACTCAAGGTTTTCTAGCAATTCTGCACCCACATCAAGCCTGGTCACAGACCGGGCCGCGGAGGCGTTGACCCCCGAGACCCCTCTTCAGGTATACTCCAGGTAAGGTTGAGACTGACTGAGACATTGCGAGACTTGGAGAAATTTGAAGACATTCTGCATATTTTCAACTCATGCTGCATATTGTTTCTATATATATTCATCCATTATTATTATTACTCACGAAATCGTAATAACACATTTGCAAACAAATCACGAAAAGGGTGGGGTTCGATCCCATGGCAAGGAAGTTTTAGGACTATCTTTTAGGCTCTTTATCCCTCATTCTTTGGATTATTATAGTTATTTAATGAAACTTTGAACTCTTGTTGGGTCATTCAACACAAGATGTAGTAGAGGCTCGAGCCTCCGTCCGTTACATAAATAACTCGCACACAGGAAGATGAAAATTATGGCGATATTTCGGCTCGACTTGGACCATTAACTAGCCACACTAGTCTGTGTAACTAGTTAATGGTTCGAGTCGGGCTGATATGTTGCTATAAGATTCAGTCTCTTATATGCAGGTTATTTGTGTATTGTTCCAGTCATGGTATTGTGACTTTTTATTCTGTCTCCGTCCGATAACCGCTAGACAAATACGCTAAGCACCAGTACTTCCCCCTCATTGCTCTCTTTCTCACGCAGACTTACCTGACGAAGAGCCGGTGATCAGTGGAGCCCGGGCCAGCTACCAGCTACACGAGGATGTCATCTTAAATTGTTCGTCTCCCCGCTCCCAGCCTCCTGCTACTCTCACCTTCTATATCAACGATGAACAGGTAATCTTAATGAATAATTAACTCTTCGTTGGTACTGGAACAGACTTGTGTTCGCGGCGTCCTGTTTTCGGGTTTCAGTCTAGTAAATATGTATTATTACCTTTTATTTCCTCTTTCATATCATTCCATTATTTTTCAACTCTGTGAGAATAAAAACTTTTTAGTATCGTTGGTGTTAAGCAAATATTTAGGGAATTTCGAGCTAAGAGAATATTTGTTATGCAAGCAAAAGAGAGGAATACTTGTGGGAAAGTTTGGAGTGCTCGGCATGAATATAAATGAGTTTTGCTTAGAAGGTTTGGAAGTAGGAACTGGGTAATACGTGTACTAAGTGTGCAACGAGGACAGTCAACTGGGTTGTCTTAGGCCTAGTGTATAAAAAGTTAAAGAGTAGGCTTCTGCATGTATGTGTGTTTTAGAGAGTTTGGTCCCTCCCTCTCTCTCTCTCTCTCTCTCTCTCTCTCTCTCTCTCTCTCTCTCTCTCTCTCTCTCTCTCTCTCTCTCTCTCTCTCTCTCTCTCTCGTCGTACAATAGTAACCATTTTCCTGTAGTAGTTCCTTCCTAAAGTAGGTCCTTCCTGTAATAGTTAATTCCTCTAGTTTTTGCTAAACTAGCCAAATGAGTGTGGTTTTCTGTGGATATACTACTACTATACATGTTTTCATCGGAGAAATTCATAGATCAAATTACTATTTAGATGTACCTAGAGCAATGGTAAGAGAATAGAATGCATTATAATGAATTCTAAAAATACAGTTGCGAGTGAAAGATAACAGCTTTTGAAAGCCTGGCTAGATTGATAGAAAGTGATGTGGAGTGTAAGGGAAAATGTGTAGTGCTGGTTTAGGGATGAAATGCAGTTTGTGATTCAGGAGGGCGGGTGCAAAAGTTGAAGAGGAATGGTTGGTGGAATGACGAGATGAATTTTAGGGAAGAAAAGCCGGCATACGAGATGTTTTAAACACTGTAAAGATAGTATAATAAGGGTGTGTTATAGAGAGATTGTTAAAATTGTATCTGCGGGAATGGTAAATAAGACCAAATAAATGAATAGGTAAGGCATAGTCAGTAATTTTTGTGAGAATATGATAAAATTTTGCCGGATAAATAAAGTGTGTGAACAAAGGATGCAAATGGACTCGTTAAGAACGAATATTGTGAGATGTTTGACAAGGAGGTAGATTTAGCAGAGAGATGGAGATAACAATATTGTGAAATTGTTTAACGTAGATGATGAAATGAAGGCAAAGATTTCATGCCTGGGACAGGGAAGAGTAAGCTATCTTAGAATGAGTAAAAATGATATTTATACTTACATTAAGTGTTAATCCCGTGTGGGACACTCAGCACAAGGAGTAGTGAAGGGTCGATCCTCCGTCACCTGGAGCAGAAAACAAGCAAGAAAAGAATGAAAGAGGAAGCAGCATGAAATTGGAGAAAGGATCAAGGATGGATTGGAGTAAGACTAAAATAATGAAAGTCGTAATAAGAAAAAAAGGAAGTTGTTCACTTTATGGTAACTTTAACAAATACGTACTTCTAATACTGACTGCATAACTATGTTACTATGGTTGCAGATCATTTTTCACATTTTTAATATATGGTTCGACGAAGTGATGGAATGGTTGGTACACTTCATTAAGATATGATTGAAAGAAAGGAAGCTACCTAAGGATTGACACTGATATGTGGTTCCTCTGCATATAGGGAAAGAGGACACGGTTGTAAGAATTACAGAGGAGAAAAGTCTAGTATATACCAGGTAAACTGTAAGGCAGAAATGTAATAGATTTGGAAAAGACTGTACCATTTCAAAAAGGAATTGAATTGAGAAAGGAATATTAAAGAGTGGATAATGTTTCTGCATTGAAGCGAGTAGGATGAGGTGGTTTTCATTGCATCGATTTTGATTAGCAGGTAATTATTCTGTTCAACCCGACTGTGTTGCTCTTCATTTGCTTGTTTTTCATCTGAATTTTGATATTTCCTTTGTCGATGTAGCACTCAATGTAATAATGTCGCATTAGTTGCAAATGTGTCCTTTTACTCATTGTGTTTGTTTTAATGATTCTTGTATTTATTAAGGAAACCAACTCACGTGTTAGCACTTGGATATATTCGCTTTTTACCGTGACTCAGGAAGTCGTAATAACATGATTGGAAACGAATCACAGAACGGGTGGCGTTCAAACCCTTGGCAAGTGAGTTCTGAAACTCACTATTAGAACCAGCTGGTCCAGTGGTTAGCACACTGGCCTGTGAATTTTAGGACTCACCTGCCGTGGGATAGATTCCCATTCATTCTCTGATTTGCTTACCACTTTGAAATGGAATAGCAGATTGTGCCAAGCCCTGAGCAGTAAATTTAGCGGACCCTCCGTTCACTTACATCGGAAGGTCTTGACATTTCTCTGCTACACATTGGCCAGTTGCTTTTGGAATATGGGAAGAGGTTCTGGTGGCAGAAGCTTAGAATATCATTTTATAGGATAAAATTTTCAGATGTTCCTAGCGTCTTGTGGTAGGGAACTGTGGGCCGCTGCTACTCACAGGGAATCATCCATGATTCAGAGTAACTGTCATGCTTGTGGACAACCCAGATGCTGTTAATCCTGCAGTATTTCCCACTGATCTGATATGTGCCCCTTGAGCAATGTTGATTGTTCGGTTCTCTAAGCCATGTGCCTCCTGGATGGCTGGATCAACTTATGTTTAAATATTAACTTGGTTGCTGAGCTGTGTATATGGGGCATAATACTACATTCTTCTTTTTCTTTTCTTATTTCTTCCTTAATTTCAAATTTTCTTCTTATTTGTTTTTATTAATTTTTTTTCTTTTTCCACTTTTCTTTTTCCTCTATTCTTTTTCTTTTTACTTTTTTCTTTTTCTCTTTTCTGTCTTTTTGTCTCATCCCGTGTCTCTGTTTTTCTTTCTTTTTAGTTTACATTTTCTTCTTTAATTCTTTCTTTTTTTCAGAATATTATCACTTTATTCTTCTTCTTTCTTGTTTTCCCCATCTTTTTCTTTTCATTTTCTTTTTCCTTCTTTTTCCATCTTTTCATCTTTACTTCAAGATATCAATCACTTTATTTAATTTTTTAAAGTAATAAAACCTAAATAACCGCGAGTTTTTATTAACAGAAATTCCTCAGTCTGTGTCTGGAAAATATAGATTGACTTGGAAATCAATTTTATTGCTTTTCGAAGATTCTTATGGAATAAATTTATTACGAGTGTGGCTACCGTTGCTGCTGTATTTTCTGTTGTTTCTTTGTTTAAAAGTATGTTGCTTTAGTTCCGGTTTTTTCTCTGTATGGAAGTGTACCACTACTGTTGCTGCTGTAATTCCTGCCGTTTCTCTACGTAGAAGTGTGCTGCTACCGTTGCTGCTGTTCCTTTTGATTCTGCTGCCGTTGTTGCTGTTATTAGCATTGTTTTACCTGCCTCTGACAGCAAGTTAATTATTGTATTCCAGTTGCAGAATTGAGGTATTTGTTCAACCCCTTTGTTGATACTGCTTGTTTATTCTCTCTCTCTCTCTCTCTCTCTCTCTCTCTCTCTCTCTCTCTCTCTCTCTCTCTCTCTCTCTCTCTCTCTCTCTCTCTCTCTCTCTCTAACCCCTTCCTTTCATCCACAATAATCTCCTCACTCTCTCCCTAGGCGGACCCGGGATGGCTTATTCCCTACCCGCCACTAGAAGATAGCCAGACCGGCTTGGAGACCGCGGTCCTTGGCCTACGCTTCCCGCTGCGTCCGCGCCTGCTCTTCCGGCGGGGAGCCGTCACCGTCAAATGCACAGCCTCCATCCTCAATCTCTACTGGGATAGCTCAGAGATCTTCATTCCAGCTGACGTTCCCTACCACGCCTCCATCATGGAGGGTCGCGCTGCTGCTGCTGCTGGTAGAGGTGGGTGTGGAAGCTGGTTTGGGCGGAGGGATGTTTAGGATGGTGTAAGAGGGATTTGTATGAGTGGTTAGTAAAGACTGTGCGCTAGTAAGAATGGGTAGAAGAGGATGTAAGCTTACGAAGATATCACAGAAAGCCAGAGATAGAGGTAAGAGAAGACACCAACTAACATGGGCACACACATAAACATCAAGTGATTTTTTTTATAAGAACTGATTTGATAATACATGATAGTCCTTAATATAGATAGAGTTGGAGAGTTCCTTTCGACAGATAGCCTTGGTGGGAATTTCTAAATCATCTGCTTTCAGTTTGTCCTCATGTACTCCCAGGTAACTTATGTTCGTAAGCACTGAAAAGAAAATAATTCACAATTTTATCCCTTCTAGGATATCCAGCGACGGTGTCCAGTGCCCTCACTGTGGTAGCCGTAGGGCTCCTTCCTCTGCTACTGCTACACTAGGGACTTTCAACCCATGATACCCGAATACACAAGGAACAGAAGGCAGCTGGGACATACGATTATTCTGCTGCTTTCAATTCCCTACGGATGATGGGGCTGTAAGCTACTTGGCCAAACAAATCTTCTGCTCGAGGCTCAGTCCACGTTCATCGAACTAGACACACGTCTTTTTTTTTTTTCTTGCATTCCAGATTTCCTAATGGGGAAAAATGGTAGTTTGAACAGGTGCAGAACTTTAACGAATGTGCAATTGAATATACATTCCCGAGTGTTTTACCGCAAATAACAACAACGTAACATAAACTATTACTTTTTTAACCCGAAACTTTTAAAAAAGTATGCGATTGTTAAAATGCAGGTATTAAAAGCGGGAAAGCAAAGAGTACCCATAACTCTGTGTCGTCCAGAGCTGTTGATATCTAAATGTTTCTTAAACCGCAAGATTTCACTTCAAGAGAAAAAGTGGGTAAGACAGACCTTGATACTGGAAGTGGCAGCTATTGTCACTCTATGACAACAATAGCTTCCCATGTATTGCCTCTTTTTCTACAGTCACATCAACACTGCTCATAGTTGTGATTTTTTTTTAAATAAGAGAAAAGTATATGTTAATTTGTTTCGCTTCTTAAATTTATTACGAGAATGAGTTGGCGACGAGCCTTGACAAGCAAATAATCTTCAGTTACTCAGAAACATCTACTTATTGTTTATCTTGCGCATCTTACAGCTGCAGTGTTGTGCAGTGAAGTCAATGTACATTATCCTGGTGAATCCCAGATCTTAGTCATATTTTTTACTGACAAATATGCCCTCTCTTTTTATATGTATATATATATGCTGGAATGTAAGTTAAGTGTGTGAACCACCAACAATGTTATATATATTATATATATATATATATATATATATATATATATATATATATATATATATATTCTCTCATCGCTTCCTTTCTCTTCTTTATAATGCTTGAGTGTCTTGTTAAGAACTATTTAATATTCATACATTATATATATATATATATTATATATATATATATATATATATTATATATATATATATATATATATATATATATATATATATATATTATATATATATGTATATATGTATATATATATAAACATTTTCAACCTTGAAAACTGACTTGGGAATAAGTAATAAAGAGTTTATATGAGTGGTAAAATCCCTTTATAATAGTGAATAAAATACAGGAAATAATAAAATAAAACGTGGAATATTCAGTGTAGACTTTTTTATAGCGAAATATTCATCTGCATGATTTTCATTTAAATTTTATATTTAAGCTCATATTTTCAAATGTGGCTTCACCATCATGTTTACAAATGCGTGTTTCCGCGTACAGTGAGAGTGAGAATTGAAGCGTGTTTCCGCGTACAGTGAGAGTGAGAATTGAAGCGTGTTTCCGCGTAGAGTGAGAGCGAGAATTGAAGCGTGTTTCCGCGTACAGTGAGAGTGAGAATTGAAGCGTGTTTCCGCGTACAGTGAGAGTGAGAATTGAAGCGTGTTTCCGCGTACAGTGAGAGTGAGAATTGAAGCGTGTTTCCGCGTACAGTGAGAGTGAGAATTGAAGCGTGTTTCCGCGTACAGTGAGAGTGAGAATTGAAGCGTGTTTCCGCGTACAGTGAGAGTGAGAATTGAAGCGTGTTTTCGCGTACAGTGAGAGTGAGAATTGAAGCGTGTTTCCGCGTACAGTGAGAGTGAGAATTGAAGCGTGTTTCCGCGTACAGTGAGAGTGAGAATTGAAGCGTGTTTCCGCGTACAGTGAGAGCGAGAATTGAAGCGTGTTTCCGCGTACAGTGAGAGTGAGAATTGAAGTGTGTTTCCGAGTACAGTGAGAGTGAGAATTGAAGCGTGTTTCCGCGTACAGTGAGAGTGAGAATTGAAGCGTGTTTCCGCGTACAGTGAGAGTGAGAATTGAAGCGTGTTTCCGCGTACAGTGAGAGTGAGAATTGAAGCTTGTTTCCGCGTACAGTGAGAGTGAGAATTGAAGCGTGTTTCCGCGTACAGTGAGAGTGAGAATTGAAGCGTGTTTCCGCGTACAGTGAGAGCGAGAATTAAAGCGTGTTTCCGCGTACAGTGAGAGCGAGAATTGAAGCGTGTTTCCGCGTACAGTGAGAGCGAAAATTGAAGCGTGTTTCCGCGTACAGTGAGAGCGAGAATTGAAGCGTGTTTCCGCGTACAGTGAGAGTGAGAATTGAAGCGTGTTTCCGCGTACAGTGAGAGCGAGAATTAAAGCGTGTTTCCGCGTAGAGTGAGAGCGAGAATTGAAGCGTGTTTCCGCGTACAGTGAGAGTGAGAATTGAAGCGTGTTTCCGCGTACAGTGAGAGTGAGAATTGAAGCGTGTTTCCGCGTACAGTGAGAGTGAGAATTGAAGCGTGTTTCCACGTAGAGTGAGAGCGAGAATTGAAGCGTGTTTCCGCGTACAGTGAGAGTGAGAATTGAAGCGTGTTTCCGCGTACAGTGAGAGTGAGCATTGAAGCGTGTTTCCGCGTACAGTGAGAGCGAGAATTGAAGCGTGTTTCCGCGTACAGTGAGAGTGAGAATTGAAATGTGTTTCCGCGTACAGTGAGAGCGAGAATTAAAGCGTGTTTCCGCGTACAGTGAGAGCGAGAATTAAAGTGTTTCCGCGTACAGTGAGAGTGAGAATTAAAGCGTGTTTCCGCGTACAGTGAGAGCGAGAATTGAAGCGTGTTTCCGCGTACAGTGAGAGCGAGAATTAAAGCGTGTTTCCGCGTACAGTGAGAGCGAGAATTAAAGCGTGTTTCCGCGTACAGTGAGAGCGAGAATTAAAGCGTGTTTCCGCGTACAGTGAGAGCGAGAATTAAAGCGTGTTTCCGCGTACAGTGTGAGTGAGAAATCATTCGTGTTAGCACACAAAATAAGATCAGGAAACTCTTGTTTTCTAACCTTTCATCTCACTTTTACTCAACATTTCTTTCAAAATTGTCCAAGGTAATGAGCTCAATGACTGGTCAGGTTCCTCTAGCTCACTGGCACGCCCGTGACAATCTCCAGTCATATGTTTACAAGGCGAATCAGAGCAATATAACTTTTAAGTGCCTTTTCTTTTTTTACTTTTCGAAAGAGGGCGATTCAATTTGAAAATTTATTTTGTTGTTGGTGGGATATTCTGGTCAATATTTACTGTGACGGGGATGAGTGCATGAGAGATTGAGGTTTTAGCTTCGTTTGATTGAAATATCTCACTCCTTTTTTTCCTGTATCTTTCTGTTTGTATTGTTTTAGCTCTGTAAGTCTTGCTCTATCTTTATATATTTTTATCTTCATCTCTCTCTCTCTCTCTCTCTCTCTCTCTCTCTCTCTCTCTCTCTCTCTCTCTCGCAGCATCACGCTTTACCAATAATGATATAGATAGCACTCATCACAAGGAGCTAGAACTGCCGGGCTGACCAATACAAATAATGCCACAGGTTACGTAATCATGGTTGTCCCAACGTACTGACACAAGGTGCTGGAGCTGCTACAGAAGTCAATAATAACGGCAAACGTCGGAAAAACCAACGGACAGGTTGCAAAGAGCTTGCAACCCACAATACGTCCGCTGCCCCCCCCCCAAAAAAAAAGGCTAATTTAGAAATTAAACCTATTCCAATATTTCATTTCATTCCATTCCACCTTAATTGTATTATTATTATTTTTATTATAGTCATTGGGGGTGCGCTAAACCCAAAGTGTTTTTTTTTCAAGCTCAGTAATGAGGTCAAAGGTCACAGCGAACTAACAGTGACTGATGATCAGATGAGAAAACATTGACCTTAGAATTCAAACGTAAAATTTAATATTCCTCGTTACAAAGAAAATAAACACTTTTAATTTCTGTCCGTTCATCCGAATATTGAATAAATTAATCTTGGCATATGAGAGAACATTCCTGTTAACTCGACTCGACATAAAGTAAATTAATCTCGGGTTAAAAGGCGTAATGCCCACGCAAGTTGTAGCTCGCTCTGCGTAAAGCTTTATCAAGCTTTATTGATGACTTGACAAAGCTCTTCGTACAACGAATATTCTGCAACTCTACAGTGTAATCCTGCTACATGACTTTATATTCACTTCTACTCTCCTGAAGCCAAAACAAATTTCACCACCTAAATGACAACAAGACACAATACCGTGACTGGAACTATACACAAGTAACCCGCACATGGGAGAGAGAAGCTTATGACGACGTTTCGGTCCGACTTTACCTGAAATGGCCAAGTAGGCCTATTTGCGATGGGAATAAATGGTATAAAATACCGACACAATGGAAATATAAACACATATGCAGTATAATGTGATCCTTTATTGACAACGTTTCGCCCACACAGTGGGCTTTTTTAAGTCACAAACAGATCTAGATCTGTTTCGCCCACACAGTGGGCTTTTTCAAGTCACAAACAGATCTAGATCTGTTTGTGACTTGAAAAAGTCCACTGTGTGGGCGAAACGTTGTCAATAAAGGATCACATTATACTGCATATGTGTTTATATTTCCAGGCCTATTTGCACTGCTACTCCATTCTTATATCCATATGCTTTCCACTTTTTTCAGCCTGACTACCTTCATTTACCCTAAGTGTTGCATGACTCCTACGGGTTTAGTACTCAATGAATGTAATAATAATAATAACAACTCTGGTTTTTCAGTTCCTCTCTATTCACGGTGAAAAAATGTTGCAGAGAGTGCAATATGATTGCATTCAGCATCAATCATCGAATGATTTCTTGAAAGATCTCGACACGAAAGATTTAATTTCCTGTACCAAAGAATACTGAATAAGTCAAGGTTTCAAGAGCTGTTTATATGGGACATTATGGGCATTTTTTAATTTAATAATAATAATAATAATAATAATAATAATGATAAGAAGAAGAATCTGCATTATTAATAATTATTATTATTATTATTATTATTATTATTATTATTATTATTATTATTGTTAGATTGCATAATACAAAAAAAAGTATTTCAGTGTTGTTTCTGAATGTCATAATTAAATATTAATTACATTCCAGAAAAATTATATATTTTTTTAGTAATAATAATTATATAATAATAATAATAATAATAATAATAATAATAATAATAATAATAATAATAATAATAATAATAATAATAACAATAATAATAATTATCGTTGGTGCATGTATTCCAAAATTATTTAAGTCACAGGAATTGTTTTTATCTAGTCGATACATATGTCTGTGTAACTCTTAAGTCTCACGAGCATAAGGATTAATTTTACTTGGTAATGTTCTTCAAAGTAACTATTTTAGCATAGTAACTGGCATTATTATTATTATTATTATTATTATTATTATTATTATTATTATTATTATTATTATCTTTGAAGGCTACTAAGTAACATTGTTTAACATCTCACATGAATTTTTTTCATGTGAAATTATGATAAAAAAATACACTAGTTACCCAGAAATTTTAATGGTATACGCTTTCCTTTTTTTTTTTTTTTTTTTTTGTTTATTCCATTAACTTTATTTTGTCACTGACGAAATCAAACGATGTAATAAAATTTTTCAACATTCGGTAACTATAGTCATATCTTTTTATTATTAATTTATTATAATAAAATACTCTTATAAGACAATACATGTGTACTGTATATATTGTACAGATATTTGTTTACGAATATTGTTGTCATTGTAAATAAATTGCTGTAAATGACCTAGTGTTTCAAGCACCTGTGAATGACCTAGTGTTTCAAGCACCTGTGAATGACCTAGTGTTTCAAGCACCTGTAAATGAGCTAGTGTTTCGAACGCATGTAAATGATAAATTATGCAAATAACTCTTACACCTGTAAATAATCTAATTTTATAAGAC